GAGATGCCGTTTTTTGCACTTCCATATCTCCTTCATCTTTTTTTTAATGTCGCTACCTTATCCCAACAGCAGCATAAAGCTAGAAACAGAAAAATGGGGGCAACAGCTAATCTACCTCTGTCTGAAAATAGGAAAATCTGCCCCCAATCTCCTCTAAATCACCTCTTAAGCCCACTGATTAAACTTTGTTTGTTTAATCTGTACAATAAATACACACACTGCTGATTTATTATTCAAGCTCATTTCTGATTTGTTTCCTGGTGGAAGGGACCCAGAATTGCACTAATCAGGTGCACAAAGCACCTCAATTCAAGCTCACTTCAGATATCTGAGCTCTTGAACCAGTGTGTGCTCCAGACCTTGCACAGAAAGAGAATGATATCAGGGTGGTATAGATCTTATAAATCTATCTGGAAAGCAACTCAGTGAGTTCCCTGAAATGATGAGCAATTTCTTTAAGCGAGAGCACAATTAGCATTCCACTCATTAAACCTCCCCCTTTTATGACGTGTGCCCCAAATGTCCAGTCACTCACACAACAACTCCAGGCTCCAAAGGTTCCCCCCACAACACAAGAAACTGGGCCTTGGCTCAGCAGTTCTGGGGCCCAAGGGTCCCTTATTTTACTAACAACTCCGGCACTGCAGGAAAAGGCAGGACGCATTGTTATGCAACAATTTAGACAGGATGAATAGGCTTCAGTACAGGCCCAGTGAATGCCATTTGAAATGATGGGAACAGAGTAGCAGCTAGGTTAATCCCAGAGGGAGTCCCCCTGGGACCTGGCCCTCATAGCTCCTTCATGTTTTCTTTTCAGCTTTTAAATGCGTTGGTTAAATGTCTTTTAGAGACAGTGAAGAAGCAGAAAGTAGGAGGCTGGGTTGTGCGGGTTCAGCAGCAAAGCAGACTGGTTAATCCCTGCAACCCCAATACAAGATCTAGCCAAACTCTTGGGGTTCATCCTCTCCTCTCCTCCTGCATGGCCGCCCTCAGGGACCAAGCCAACAGCCCCAGTGTCTCTTAATGGGTGACATCACTGGTTGGCACAGAGAGACGGGGGTGGGGGGAATAATTAGGTTTAGATAGTTGAAGTGACTGTCTATGTGTATGTCTGTGTACATGCATGGTTTGTGCATGTGTGGTGATGTAGAAGAGAATTTGCCAGGCTTTACTCCACATCAAGCACGTACACACTACAACTGATACTCCAATGGAAACCAAAGGAAAGAATGTAGAATTTGTCTGAATGTTGGGTGGTTTTTGCAAACAAAGGCAAAGTAAAAGCTCATGCATGAACAAACAAAACACAGTGATTTAGTCTTCTAAAAATACAACAACAACAACAACTACTACTACTACTACTACTACTACTACTTCTAATAATAATAATGATAATTAGAGTCAGAGCACTGTGTTTGGTTGAGTTTGGAGTTAACTGTGATGGTGGTGGATGAAGAGCAGGGGGCCCCGCTTTGAAACTCACTATAGACTCCATACATGACCACCCCGGCAAAACTCATCCGTTCATTGCCCTTCATGCTATATACACAGCCTACTTAGGGCGAAGTCTTTGTTTGTCCGACGCGCTTTGTCAACCTCTATTTAGTGGCTTCTTTACGACAGACTCAGCCCTTTGAATATTAACTGTGTGATCACTCTTGCCACACAAGCAGCTGCTCGGGACCCCCTATCACTGCACCCCAACTCCCCTGCACTCTGCTGTGGGGCTTTGACCACAGCTTAGTGTATCCAGACTCTTGCGGGTATCTCATGAAACCAGTTAGGGAGAAATTTATTTTCCATTCCTTCAATGACATTTATGAAGCGCTTGACTTGTTTTACACATGAGAAGACTGTAAAGCAGCGATCAAATATAAAAGTCTTACTACATCTCGTAAAAAACAGAAAGAGGGATAAGAAGAAAAGAAGGGGAAGAAAAGGACTGATTTGTCTATGTCGCTGTATGTCACCGCGCCATTGTGAACTGTTAGTGGAGTGCGACTGTATTTCTGACTAGCGTAATGACCATAGCAGCTGGGGCAGGAAGGCAACGGAGGGTGGGAGAGTCTGTCCGAGTGTTTTTTCAGGCCAATAATCCCCTTTATTGAGTCTCAGGAAATCCTAATTGGAGTCGGAAGTGGCTCTAGTGGCCAGATGTGCAAAGACTAACAAAGTTGACCCTCCCACCCCCATATACACCCCAAGGACATCTGACCACAAGCACCTTAGTCTCCCCTTCCATTCCACCCTGCTGAGTTTAATTTAAATACACACACAGGCACATCCACAAGCCTCTTTCTACCTAATGCTAAAAATGCCGCAAAAGTACTTAGCCAGTGTGCACAATCTAACAAAGGGAATTACGGGGTTCAGTCACACCTCTTGTCTGTTAGTCAGTTCATAGCAGTTTCTGCAAAATCAGTCTACAGAGTAAAACACAGATGTGTTTGCTTTGGCAAAAAGAGGAAAACTAAAAAAAAAAGAAAGAAAGTGAAAGCTTCCACAGATCTCTCGTCATTGCATGCTTTTCTTTCCCCACAAGCTTGACTCACACAGCCTCTTTTCTTTCTGTCTCCATGATGTTTGTATCATTGTCTAACGGCCTGTCTGTGAACCTTTAAAGTTACACTGTGCAGCAGTGTGTGTGTGTGTGTGTGTAAGCCGCTCTTTGTGTCTTCTGTTATTATCTATAAGTGGGGATGAATACAGTCTAAGGTCTCATGTATGAAGCAGAAATGTACTGTAAGAGGTCATGCCTGCACACATGTGTTTATGTGAAAAATAATTAAGGAAAAAGGGAGGTAGACAGTCACAATGTATGTGTGCTGTCTGTCTTTTCCTGTCTCTCCTTATCAAGCGGCCTGACCAAAGCCAGGGACTGCGGTCACTGCACGTGATCTGAGTGCAGCTGGAAAACCAAGAAGGATCTAAGGAAGCTGGGTTTGATTAGAAGTACCTCCCCAAACCAAATGGGCTCTGACCCAGGTGTGTGTATCCACGTGCAGTTTTCTCATGCACACATAGGCACGCCATGTCTGTGCACGTGTTTAGTACTCCCGCAGAGCCATAGTCACACTGACCTATTTACTTCGCCATGGAAATTGCCAGGACCCCAGGAGGGAGACCAGACTCACCAGAGGCAGAATAACACTAAGACCCCATACGGCAATATCAATAGTTTCACATGGAACAGTTTTACTGCCACTTTTGCACACTTAATAACTAGGGCATCTGGTGCGTGCGTGCGTGCATATTGATTTCTTGACATCCGGATTCATTTCTGAAGTGTGAAAAACTGCAACAGAGGTCTATAGATAGAAAGAAATTACCATTCCTAAAGTACTGTAAAGCATTTTTTGTGCTTTTATCTGTGTGTGTGCACCTCTCATTATTTAGGTTTAGTGTCAACACTTCATCTATAATGCATACGTGTATACAGTAGGGGAGTGGGCAGCTAAAAGCCTTCACCTTTACATAACCCCCTGAGACTTCAAAGAGAGATTAAGAGGGAGAGATGGCGAAGGACTAACACTTGCTGCATGGCTGCAACGACCCCACTAAACTAAAGGCTGAGCGACGGGGTAGTTGGCACTGGCTTCTCATGTGTTGGGCCTCATTTTTTCCACTCAGTGTAAAGCATCAGAAAGACCTCAGAGAAGTATTGATGAAGAAAAACACTTCTGTTACACGCTCTTCTATGTTGCAAAGGGCTGGTTAACTTGAATGCACTGATTACTTACACAGGCTCACACACAAATCTTGCACATGAACATACGCATTGACTCACTGAAGAATAGACCAAGAGAAGCACAGGCTTCGAAGCTCACTGTTATGCAAAGAGGACCGGCTGGAAGTGGGCCTGTACACATCACACGCTGTTTTGTCTCCTTGCAATGGTGGAGAATGCAAGGGAAGCCAAGTTAACTCCTTACTATTCATTAATTGCTGTCACACTGGCTGTGAATCCTGTCAGAATATGTCAACAATATGCCGGATTGTTCAGACTCTTTATGGACTGTCTCTCAACAGTGGCATTTCCTTGTATTCTGGGAAATACACTGTACTCTGACAATTGAGTTATTGAATAGAAAGTGAAGTTCCTGAGAGAGGTTTATTCTGGCACGGTACACTACAACATGCTCTGCTGCGCAGGCACAACAATGGACAGATCTTTGGGGTCGTAACCTCCTAATTACCACAGCCCCAGAAGTGATGAAGAGTGCCTGTCAGCGTGGCCTCTGAGAGGGGCTATCTGAGCCGGACTCAGGATAACCAGGTGACATGGGCCAGGGTGCTCCGGCACCTCAGATGAAAGGTCGGTGTTATGAGTCCACATCCAAACACCTGGGCCATTTCAGCACACCACAGGGACATCTAGCCTCTTCGCTTTCACCTATAACCTCCGTCTGTACTTTGGGGAAGGGATACACACATAATTCCCAGGTCTGATGGACCTTTGGTCCCACTCTCAGGCTCTGAACCCCCCCTCCCCCCCACCCAAAAAGAAAAAAACAAACCACAAGCTTTCCCAAAGCACGATCAAGCCTTTCTGCACAATTCCCACATCAGAGGTCTTGCCCACATTAATGATTTTTCTGAAATAGACACTTATCAAGTTTGCGGCAGGGCTCCTGACATAAATCGTATGCGGACTTTGTAGACAAAGCCACTGAGGTATTAAGTCCAATAAAAGAAAGATTAAAGTGATATGCGAGGTTAAGGCTTTGAGTTATTGATTTTGTTTAAGATATTAACACCCTTATTGAATCCTTTCCAAAACTGTAAGCATTTCATAAATGTATCGCCATTGCAGGATCTGTAAAATCTGAAAGTGGATTAAAGATGATCTAATAAAAATCTCAAAAACCCCTAAATCCGCCCATGGGAAAACTGGGAGGATACAATAAAGGCATATCAGTGTGGGGGGCGTGCGCCTGCGCGTTCGCGTCGTGCAGTGTAGAAGTTTCCCTGCAAGTTTGGAAAGACAAGAGGAGTGCAGCGAGTGGAGTGGCACAAGTTACCGGGACAAAAACGACATAAGAAAAAATGTATATATGTTAAAAAAAAATAATTAAGACCTCGATGTGTCGATGTTTCTCGCTGTGGCTCTTGTTGGAGTTTTTTTTAAACAACTTCACTGGAAACTGTGGCCGGAAACTGCAGGTAAGTAAACCTGATTAGGACCAGAATCAGACGCGTTAAATAATTGGAACACTGTCGAGCAACATGAGGTGAATGTTTATCCGATTTTTCTTAAGTTAGATCTACGCAAAAATAACAGAGAAACTACCAGGTTATAAAAAAAATGATGCACTAAATGTCAACAGTAGAAATCTTTTGAAACTTAAAAAATGTTTTTGTTTTTTAAGAGCGTTCTTATGAAAAAGTAACGGATGCTGTTGCGTTGATGTAGAAAAACAAAGCTCACTTTCCATGTAACATTTCATCCTCCCACGAGTTCTTGGGCAACACGATTTGTCAGATAATATTTTCGCTTAGTCAAGATGAATATCTCATTAAATGATGGAGACTGAGATTACCGGTTTGTGCAGCGCGCCCGCGCGGCATGCAGTGGAACAGACTGGAAATCAAGCGCGTCCGTAAAAAAAGTTTTCCAAACCTTATGATTCATTTGGAGAACGCGAGAAATGACGAGAGGATGTGTGTGTGTGTGTGTGTGTGTGTGTTTCCCAAATCCAAAGCCGTGTAAAGATTAAAGCGTTTCCCTTGAACCCAGACTTTTGAAACTTCTGAGTCATTCTCAGTTGCATTACTAATCCTGCTTAAAAACCTGCTGGTGCAAGCGTGTTCAACCCACTTTCAGATGATGCCCTCCCCAAAGTGAAGAAGGAATACATAAGAAGCTCGCAGAGCATTTATTTCTGGGCTTTGTGGTTAACTGTGCGTCTTACCTCACCGGTCTCCATATTTTCTAATTAGAAGAGGAAAGGCGGTGTGGAGGTGTGTGTGTGTGCGCGCGCATTCAGTGAGGTGAAACTGAACAGGATGGGACAAGCTGTTCAAACAGGTCGCAGAGGGGGAAGAGCTCATCCTGCCCAGCTAATGCTTTCCCAAAAAAATGCCTTGAACTTTCATTGAAAGTTGAACTTGGGCTTAGATTTTTAGCTTGTACCAGTTGTAAGGCTGAAGTCATGGGAGCTCACTGGCCTAGTTGGAAGCTGACTGACTGGTTTTCAGTTGCAAAACTCTACACCGACTGTTTCTGCTTTCAATAATGTCTGAGATAAGATTTTTTTTGTTGTTGTTGTTGCCGCTTTGTTTCCTAGACTGGGGTTATTGCTTGACCTTTGGACAAGAGATCACTGGAAGAAAGGCAGACTGACCCTCCCTCAAACAGCCCGGCTGCCTCTATGCACATCAACCTGAGTGTGGCCATCAAGGAATCTCGTGCCTTTCATGGAACACAGCCTGCCCTTCCTGCCGCTGCGGAAGTGACGACCATGGAGCCGCGTGCGGCGCTGGTCGCTCCTCCACCGCCTCCTCTAGCACCTCCACCACCGCCGCCGCCTCCTCCCCCGCCTCCCCCCACGGCTTCCACCTCTTCCTCCTCCTCACCTTTAAGCCGTGCGGATAGCGCTCGTCGGAGCCGGCTGAGGAAGCTGAACTGGGAGCGCATCCCCAAAGAGAAGGTGGAGGGGAGAAAGAGTGTGTGGAGTGGGGCGGCCCCAGATGAAGATGAGTTCCCCATAGACCTCCATTCCCTGGATGAGCTGTTTGGTCAGAAGGACAGTAAGCCGCGGGACCGAACCAGCACCCTGAGACGGCGCTCTTCACTGCTGCACTGCAGATCCCCTCAGGATAGCTCAGAGGAGGTATGATCATGTAGATGGCGAGACTGTTTTAAAAAATATTGGGCGCTTTTTTTTCTTTTTTTTTTCTTGCTCTCACAATGTGTCCTTTGCTTTTTGTCCTCTTTCTTTTTCTTTTTTTTTCTAAACAGATCTCCTTATTGGACTCCAAACGCAGTATGAACATTGGAATATTTCTACGTCAGTTCAAGATGTAAGCCTAAGAAATTCTTACTGTTGAAATGTTTCAGTTGGTTCACAGAAAGAACAAAGAGGTCATGGGAAAAAAAACCCTCATTATTAAAGAAGCACATATCATAAATAAAACAAAACGGGTCAGAAGGAAAGAAGATAAGGAGCATAGAAATCAGCTACAGAGCAAACATTCATAAAGGCCTGTTTTAAGAAGAGGTTCAAGGGACTCTAATGATGTAGCCAGTCTAATCTCAATAGGCAGACCGTTTTACATAAGGGATTAATTTGGCCTTTTTCAAAGTAATAATTTTAAAAGCAAAGTAGAAGTTATCAGGCAGTCAGAGTGGTTTAACAAGTACTGCAGTAATCTGTTCATATCTCCTAATTGCCACTTATCAGTTTAAGCAGATGTGACGAGAGCTCTGCCTGATGCAGGAATCAACCTGTTTACAGCAGCTAAAGGCAAAAAGGATCTAAGTTAGGAGATTTTCTTGTGCATCATAAAAGATATAAGGGCCTAAGAACTGCCTAATATTCTTGTCAATGAACCAACCAATTTTACATTACAGAGGCACCTAAGATTGTTGGCTGTCCCACCTTATATAAGTTGTGGGGGTACTTTCATTTATTTCCTGTTTCATATCACTTTATATACTTGATATTCTTTGTGGTTTGTGCTGTCGGCTGGAGAAGTCCTTGTCCATTTTAGTTCAAAGCATATGGTGATTTTTCTTACAATGTGTTGACGTCTCAGAGGTTAAACAGTAGCTGAGAAAGTAAATTGTATTACATGAATAATGTTTTTAGTCGCAGCGCCAACAGCTAGGCCTTTTCTCTGCATTTCATCAAACTGCCACCAGTACTGGAGGCCGTTTGAAGTGGGATGCATACAGCGGTGCCCAAGGGAGCAGTTTTTGACTTGAGTTGAACTGGAGAGAGTGGCCATATGTCAAAGGTGGACAGGTGTCCGTGTTAAAGTGCGAAGCCTCGTCAGGAGAGAGGATGTCTGGTGTCAGGGAGGAGGTGGTGTACCCTGAACAGCTGGCTTGGATCTTGAAGGAGGGTGGTAAACAAGCAGCTGGCTTTAGCCTGTCGGCACCTGCTGGTGCCCTTAAAGAGTGTCTAATCTTAAAGCTACCCCCCCCTGCAGAGAGAGACCCCACTGGTGGCTTGTCATATTCATATAAAAGCCTGATTAGCATGTTTGCTTGGCTCAAACAAAGCCGCACTTCTTGCAGTGAATGAGAGGTTTCATAGTCATGTATATACATTTGCATACAGTTTAACATCTGAAATGGAATGAAACTAACGAACGATATCTACTTAGCAGAACTACATGTACTTTGAACTGCAGGAGTACGACGTGCCAAGTTTAGGGGTTGTCATGCCTCCAAGAGACTCAATTGAAAACCTTTTCTTTTCTAAACTAGATCTGTTGAGACATGTAGGGGAAGCCATTATGTGAAAAGAGCCTCTTCTGTACACAAACATCTGTCTAGTTGGAAGTTTATTTGCCCTCTGTCTGAAGACAGAGCTACTGCTCAAATGTGGGTGGACTGTAGACAAAATCAAGTCTTTGTATTATCAGTGTCTTAGTAGCCCCCCTTCAATATTATTTCCTTCTTTTATTTATTTTGTTTGGTTTTTCAATGGGTTTTGTTGGAGCAATTAACAAAAGCTCTTTCTGTTTAGAAATAGATGTCCCTTTTTCTTTTTTCCCCCTCATGCACTGCTTTTGCATGTTTTCATAGGTTGATCTTTATCCGTTGGTGTTAGACAATAAGATTCGGATGTGACTGCTGAGCCATGAATGAGATGAGTTTGATTGAGGATAAAGGCTGCAAACTGTAGTTTTAGTGCCTGTGATGTGCTGTAGTGGAAATTGGGGAGAGGCTAATGGGAAAACTGCTGAAATGGAGGACAGATGTGTCACTTGCAGAAAGGAATACAGAGGTCTCAGTTTCTGCTCTTTCACCCTGTTGTCCTTCAGCCGTCGTCTGTGTATGTCTGCATTTTATTTGCCCAGTGGATATGCCGCTTTGCATCGCCATTGTGGCGTCAACTGACCCTCCCTCCGTGACACTCGGACTGATAAGAACAGGATAAGCCTCTTTTATTGTGTGATCATTGCAAAACCGGAGCTGATTGTGCTCATTTCTTTTGGGTAGCTGTACCTTGACTTGAAAAGAGCATTGCTTGGCAAATTACGTCATGCTGAATTGTGTCTGTTGTGTTTCCGCAGGCCGGCTAAGGAGATAGTTGAGGATATCAGGCAGGGCGCCGGAGGCCGTTACGGAGCGGAGAAGCTCACAGAGCTCTGTAAATTGCTGCCTGACAATGAGGAGGTAAAGCGCCTTTTCTGGCATACAAACGCAACAGTGACAAGCTTCTTCCTCTCCTCCCGCCCTCCTCTAACTTATCATCTGGCTCTGCTTAGAATGATCAAGAGTTAGCCATTACACCATGTTGCATGTGATGTGGTCTGTGTTTCTTAGAGAAGTACCACACTAGGAGATAGTGGAATTGACTGTTAATGGGATGTTGGCAGCTTTACCCAGCTTCTATTCTCTGTCAGGAGTCTCGCCTTAAGAAGTTCAGCGGGGACCGGAGCTGGCTTGGAGAGCCTGATCTTTTCATGCTGCTTTTGGTGGAAGTCCCCAGGTATGCTCTGTATCAACCCCCAGTTTTGTTTTGTTTGTTTGTTTTTTACCCAAAAAAGTATTCCAATAGAACCTAACTCCTATTTTCAAATTGATTTTCACTGATGATCGACTGCTTATTTAACCAGTGCCTGATGTCCCTGTCATCAATCTCCACTCTCCACTGATCAATCTGTTCCCCCGTTTTTCCCTCCTTCACCAGTTTTCGCCTTCGTCTGGATGCCATGATCCTGCAGCAAGAGTTTGACCCTGCTGTGACCTCTCTGTGTGTGGCAGCCAGATGTCTGAGAGAAGCAGCCCGAGGTAAAGTAACAGCAGGGAGTTGTGTACTCCGCCACTATAAAGATCTGGGAACCCTGTTGCCCTTTTTTAAATGCTTGTATTTGCAGAAATCCTAGGAGTCAGGATGCAAATGAGATGACTTATTCTGGATGCTAAATACTTTTAAGATTTAGGAGTAACCTGCTGCTAGCAACTTTTTAAAAATAAAGGTGTAGTGCAATAGTCAATTTAAGTGTCAGAACAAAGTTGCTGACTTATTTCATGCCCTTTATGTCTGCTTCATTCACACTCCTTCAACCGTGAGGCACAGTATTAAATCTGTCTTTTACGCTCCTAGAACTGCTGAGCTGCCCAGAATTACACTCCATCCTTCGTCTGGTCCTCAAAGCGGGGAACTATATGAATGCAGTGAGTGCTTCTTTATTTCCCTTTTGATTCTTTTAATCTGTTTACAGTTACCTAAACGGTAGTGGTCTGGGTTTGTGTTCAGAGGCGCCGCTCAGACTGCGCACCTGGGTTTTGAATCGTTGTTTGTTTAAAGCTGTCACGTGTTGTGTGTGTGTGTGTGTTTTGTTTTGACCTTGTGCGTGTCTTCTCAGGGTGGATATTCAGGAAACGCTGCTGGTTTTCGAATTTCATCGCTGCTAAAGCTGGCGGACACTAAAGCCAACAAGCCAGGCATGAATTTGCTGCATTTTGTTGCTATGGTAAGATCTGAAATGTAGATGGCGTGAAATATAGTACCTATTTTCAGTTGAAGAAATACAGTTGGTTCAAAAAAAGTAGTTGAAGGCCCTCAAACCAGATTGCTTTGCAGAGCGTCAGATTTTTCTCACCATTGGTAAATAATGTTTTGCTTCCTTTGAAACAATGGCTGATTAATCATGTGTTTGTCTCCACAGGAAGCTGTGAAAAAAGACCAGAGTTTACTGTCATTTCCCAGCCAACTAGGTCATGTTGGCTCCGCCTCCAGGTCAGTCTTTTTTCTCCAAAATCTATATCCTACTGTTATTTAGTCTGAATGATCATTCTTAATGACAATAATTCCTGAAGCACCCTACTGAAACAACAAAACACCCAGCTGTCAGCAAAAGATGCATGATTGACAGTGGGGTATGATGGCCACTACTTAAGCTGCTGGACATTTTGACCATTTTCTTATTTCAGTTGGTGACTACAGCTGGGTGCTAAGAGATGACTATCTCTATGAGACTCTCAATTCCTGCACCCTTGCTCCTGCATTCTTGCTAGAATATTTAAAGGGGACATGTTTTGCTCATTTGCAGATTTTAATTCCTGCTGGTTAGAGTAGTTTAACATAACTCTCAGCTTATAATATTCTTACTTATCTTATGCTAGGCTTTGATGGAGCCACTGAGTTCACACGCCGTCATGAAATGAGCCGTTTTAGCTCTCTTCCCCTTCACTCTTCTGGTTGGCTACCCCTGAAAAACTGAACGTTTGAACAGTGGGTGGCTGGGCAGCTGGGGTGACCATATAGAGGGAAGAGGTGTAGAAGATAGAGGTATAGAAAATGTCTAAGTATTTCCAAGCAGTCTGCAGCCTGAACTCCAAGGTCACAGGAATTACCTGCACAGATTCTGACCTCTGTATATGAAGTTTTGGGCATGTTTATTATGATCATCCGTCATTGTAAGTGGATATATGACGAGAAGGAGGAAAGCATAATAGGTCTTCTTCATGACAAATTCCTAGACACTTTCGATCACGTGCAATCATTTATTTCCCATCTTTAATTATTCACCCTTTGTTGAGACATACAGTTTATACACCTGTTTCTGTTCAGTTCACAAAATAATTGCATGTTTGTATTTGTCCTCTCCTCCTTTTGCAGGTTTTGTGAAGAGTCTGTGCTTGATGACTTGGCCAAGTTAAAAAGCAGAGTTGCGGCCCTCAAGGCAAATATACAGACTGAGGCAGAGATTCAGAAGCAGACACAGCCTTTCCTGGAGGTGTGCAAAATTTGATTTTTAAATGGACTGTCTCCAACTTGAGACGGGTTATCTCAAGTTCAAGATTTGGGGTTTTAATTGAAGGGGTAATGAATATGTTCATGTAAAATGTAACTACAGGTGGCTGAAGAGCGTCTGAAGGAGGCAGAGGACGAGGTGGAGGGTATGAGGATGTCGAGTCAGGCTCTGGTGGAGTTTTTCTGTGAAGATGACAGCACTTTTAAATTGGAGGAGGCTTGCAGGGTCTTTCATTTGTTTTGCCACCGCTTCCAAAGAGCAGTCCAGGTTAGAAGCTGTCGTTAGGGAAATTGCGTCATAGAAACTTTAACTGTATGCTAAAGATGAGTGAGCAACTATCCTTTCTCTCTCGTTTTTTCATAGGAAAATGCAGAACGTGAATTGAAAGAACAGAAACGTCTGGAACGCCAACGTGAGATGGCAGAAAAGCGTCGCTCTCTGGTAGTTTGCACTGGGTTAGACCTGAGCCTGAGCCTCGCCAGAGAGCCTCCCAGTCAGGAGAGCCAGGATGAGCTGGAAAAACTCCTAGAGAGGAATCTAAGCTACACTTGGAGCCGTCGTAGTCTTAGAAGCTCTGATTCCCGCAGATACCTCCAACACTCTCACAACGATAGCCATCTCCACAACTCACCAGTGTTCAAGAGCTTCCCTGAGCTGGGCAGCAGCCCGACATCAACCAGTTATCACTCAAACAGCTCCTCTGACCACGAGACCTCTGCTGTTCTCTGCAGCTCTCCAGAGACTGATGGCATGTGTTCCCCCATTGACCAAGGACCCGTCCTGGGCCGAGGGAGCACGGCTCAGCACAGCCAAGAAACAAAATTAAACACTGAAGCAGCAACATTTAGTCATTCTCAGCATGAAAGTGGCTTTGTTGTGAAACAACATGGACCTGAGAGTATTTCTTATCTGAGGCAAAACCAATCCAAGTTAACGGGAACTGAAAAAGAAGTGGATTTTTCTCATGAAAACATGGCTTTAGTTAACTGTTCCTATACAGACTCTACTTCTGCTCATAGCAGACCAACCCAGTGTGTTAAAAGCAGAACTTCCACTTACAGGCAGAATTTTGGCCTGCCAGTAATGCCCAGTAATCATCCTATTCACTCAAAATCCAACAGCTCTTGTGTCAATGAGGAATTACAACCATCTGTTCATACAAGTGGAATACAGTCTTGTAGTGACAACAGTACTGGGCTCATTGGGTACTCCAGATCTGAGACCAAACTGCAGTCATCTGTCAGCGCTCCAGTGGAGGAGCAGTCGCAGCCACAGACGAGAGACACACCCTCTATTGAACCAAGTGCTGCGACGTGTTTGCCTGATGGAGTTTTAACAAACCGGACAGACACAGATGTGGTGTCCACACCTGCGGAGGAGACTTGGATGCCCTCCAGTCTACCGGAGTTCAGCCAGTCACTGCCAGAGGAGGATCCTGAGTTGCCAAGTACCGAGAGGGAGTCGGGGAGGTCATATTCTCGTGTCGGTGAAACGCTGGAGTGCCACACTCTGGTGAAAGGCCTTAGATCCTATGACGCCTTGTCACCCCCAGGCTCCCCGCTCCCACGACCAACACCAAGCCTTTGCTCCAAGTGGAGGAAAGAAAGGGAGGTTGACCTTCGAGAGGGGTCGACCCCAGCGTCTCCGACATCAAAGGAAGAGGCTCGAACCATGAAGGTCCCTGTACGCAGTGGGATAGGAGCCAAGAGGGGACTTGTGTCACGTACAGGCCCTTGCAGTAGCACGGGTATTCCCAGGGTACGCTCTAAAACCGATTCTTCATGTGGAAACCCACCCCCTACAAACTCATCAACTCCTACCCGCCTGGCTACTCCTCGTAGTCTGTCAATGCGTTCATCTCCTATTTCTCGAGCGGCAGAGGTGAAGCGAAGTAACAGCACACGGGAGAGAACTGTAAGTGAGGCGCAGGCTCTGGGGAAGCCCACCCTGGCCCGCAGGACTTCAAACAAATCTGTGCCAGAGAAAGGCTCTGGCAGCACCCAGCCAACTTTTATCAGAGGCACTCCTCTCCGCGTTTCCAAACGCCTCGCCCCAAACTCAGAGTCTCAGGTTCCCTGTCAGCCTAGCACTGCCCACAGCCCATCCTCGGCCACAGCCAAGACCATACGTACGGCTGTCATATCGGCAGCCCGAAATAAAACTGCCAAGACGACAAGCACAAGCCCCACTCCTGCTAGCTCTAAAATCCCAACAGCTTCAAGGATACCTGGGCCCAAAATGCCTCGAGGGTCTGCCACCTCCACCACTCCTGCTGCTCAGCCCCTGTGGAGGTGATGGACATGAATAAGTGCCTCCTCAAACTTCTCCTGCCTTTACAGTTTTGTGATCGTTTGTTTGAGCTCTTTGTCAGCTGTAGTTCATTAAAAATTGATTTGTGTGACATGCATGTGTAGTCTGAGTGCTCAGTTTCTACATGTGCAATAGGACCGTGTGGTGGGAGCATCGGGGATACTTCATCTCTTGTTTCACAGGATAGGGGATTTTCTGCAGTCTACCTCTATTTACACCCATTTGTATCCTTTGCAGGCAATAGGACAAGAAAACTGTCTCCAGTTGTAGAACAGGTTGATACTTAAGTCACAGTAATAAAATGCAACACTACTCTGTGCCTTGTATGTACAAGTGTGCTGCCAGAAGTGTAATTTGGCAAACTGTTTCAGTCTCTCGTATGGAACAAAACACTTTTTTTTTTTTTTCTTGTCTTTTTTTTTAGGAATGCGTCCAAATGTGAATACTGTGACCTCTCTGTTAAGTGATCATGGTGTTCTCAAACTTGGCTGTCTTACAGTCCTAACTGAACTCGGTACAATATTGAACTATTCATCCTGTTGTGGTGAGGCCTCATCATTATGATGCACTTTATAAACTGAAGAGGCTGTTGGGGGATTGTTATTATTATTTTGCTTATTTTATATCAAAAGAGTAAGTTTATTGAATAGCAGTGGTTGTTATTCGCTGTATTATATGGTTTTGTAAACAACAGAAGATAAATAAAGATAGCGATGTGAAACTTATTGTCTGAGAAATGTGCTCGTCAGTATATATTCTTTATTTTAAATTAGAAATATATTATGTGTCTGTTCAGTATGTATTTGCTTTCAAGATCCCTCGTCTGCATCAGCTGCAGCTCTTGCTGTCTTCTTGTCACCCTTCCATTTTTCTCTCCCTCTTGCTACATCTCTTGACACAGTCACCCCCATTCCTGTCAGTGGTTGTAGTCATGGAAATGCTGCAGACGTCCCGGGGAATCTCCTGGCAGAATAGTGGGGTGCAGGGGGTGGGGTGGAGGGTGACTGTGGGTGTAGGGGTCCCAGTGGGAATTCTCCCTTTATAGGCTTCGGTGACGCCAGAACCTCTTGGGAAAGGCAATAAACTGGTGCCTCTTTGTGTTCTCGAGTGTCCGGTTGTTGGTCACCGCTGGCCTTTTAACCTGCCACAGTGTATAAGTGGTGACATCAACAGCAGATCTCCAGGGGCGTAAGACGGAGCAGTCTAAAGTGATCCCTCTTTTTAGCTTCTTTCTGCAGTGATCTGAAAGCACTGGATTAGTGGGAATAATGACTTGTCTGAAGGTGAATATGTGATATATGAGCTTAAAGACTACTGCTCATCAAAGAGGATGAGGTCCAAAAGATACACGACAGGGTCTTTTATGGTCTGTTTGTATGCAGAGAAATTTAAGTCTGCAGACCTCTCTTTAAATGGGCAAATGCAGGAACACCCTTCCTCATTTGCAGTTAGACTGTTTGAAAGTGCAATATGGGAATATTTTTCGGGTCTATTTTTAGAATGAGAGGCCTATATTGGAAAAGTTTGGTCAAGAGTGATAATGTGAAAGTGAATCGTTGTTTGCCTCTATGTTCTGTCACAGACTTGCTACTTCTCCTGGGTGTAGCTACACAAACCTGCTCTTTAATCATTTGCCAACCAACTTTCTTTATAAAAGCACTTTAGAAAACATCAATCACTGGCCAAAGTGCTGAACATAGAAATAAAAATACATCAGGATAAAAAAATAAATAAATCTGACATGGAATCAAAAGAAGCCAAAAAATAACAAGGTGACACAAGACAGTGAAATACTTGACTTGATATTCTGTAGCCACGGAGACAGGATTAGCATAAATTAGAAGTTTTGATTTCTATGGTGTCATCACAGCATTATTTAAAGAGGGCCTATCATAGTTCCAAATAGACAACTTGCAAAAGTCAAAATGTCAACAGTGAGTTTACTGCAAAGAGAAAATATCTGAAGAAATGTCAAAATGTCTTTTAAATCTTGGCCAACCGTTACTGCCCCACGTGCTGTGAGTGGTGGTAATAATCTAGGTGGGATAAGTCTACCTGCTTGATTTTTTTTTTGTTTACATTAACATTAACATCACATTAACAAACTGATATTTTTTTTCAAACCACAGAAGGCCACACTGAGCCCTGGTTCTTCAGAATAGAGGACAGGAAGCCAGATGGACAATTCAAAAGCAGCACGAGGAAAGACTGCGCTGAGGACAAGTGTAAGTAAGACTTACACTTGTCTTACAAAAGTATTTACTTTTGTTTTATTGTTATTGATCAGCTCTAAGCCCCTGTGTAGAGTTCAGAGGTCTAATTGCTTTTCGTTTTTGCAGCTGCTTTCACAAAGAGGAGTGGCAAACATAAATCTAGCCACAAAGAAACTGAGGAGCCACTCGATGAAGAGGGCAAAACATCTAGCTCAAAGGAGGAGTCCAGCCGCTCCATTTACAAGACTGATGTCCCCTTACCCAGCACATACAACAGTCATAGGCTAGGTAAGAATATGTTGAAATCCCATATGCAATGACAGAGCCCCTTTCCAGCTAGTAAAAGGGCTGTTTTCCTCCCAAACTCCCCAAGCTTAGCTGGTATTCATCTGATAATTAGTAGGGACATTCTAACAAAGCCTGTATAAATATGTAGATAAACTAAGCCAATGTTGGCTGTTTTACATGCAATAATCAAGACCCCCATGTCTGTTTTGTGTCTCTGTAGAGGACTTTGAATCAAAATATGAAGAGCTGGATCTGCTGGGTGGAGGAGGTTACGGGACTATCTATTTTGGAAAACACAAAGAAGACAATGTCCGAGTATGACTTGTTATATGTGTAGCTCACAGTTCTTCTAGTAAATCCTGTGCACTGTGTGCTTTTTCTAAACCCCATTTTCTCTGTAATGCAGGTTGTTATAAAACACGTTTTTCAGAATTGTGTCGACCGCCTACCAATGGTAAGTGATGTTTGTCCTTTCTCTTGACACTTTTGCTTTTTGTTTTGGAAAGTTTGTGTTGAGAAACACGAATATTTCACAGCATGTCAAGAAAATGTCTTGCCTGAACACATGGCGCATATTATTCATTGTTTGAACACCGACCTAAATTTTCTCTGGTTCTAAAGCTTCTTAATGGTAAAATGACCAAAGTTCCCGTGGAAGTGGCATTGTTGATGAAAGTTGGGGCAGGACCACAGAATACAAGCAGCAATGTTACCCCAGTACTACTGGAGTGGTTTGACTCAGTAAACGAACTTATTATGGTCTTTGAAAGACAGAAAAAAACCATCGATTTGGATGTGTATCTGCAATGCAGAAACAGGTTTCTGCATGAGAGTGAGGTTAAGGTAAGTGAGTGGTAGGAAGGAATACAGTATCTCACAAAAGTGAATACACCCCTCACATTTTTGTAAGTATTTTGTTCTATCTTTTCATGGGACAACATTGAAGATATGACACTTTCATACAATATAAACAGTGTACAGCTTGTAAAACAGTGTCAATTTGGTGTCCCCTCTAAATAACTCAATGTACAGCCATTAATGTCTAAACCACTTGCAACAAAAGTGAGAACACCCCTTCAGATACTGGGCCACAGGGCAGTACTCCAACATGATAACAACCCCAAAACATTCCCAAAAAGACCAGTGCCTTGCTAAATAAACTGAGGGTAAAGGCACTTGACTGGCCAACCATGTCTCCAGACTTAAATCCTATTGAGCATCTGTAGAGCAAATGGAAGGTGGAGGAGCGCAAGGTCTCTTACATCCACCGGCTCCCTGATGTCATCATGGAGGAGTGGATGAGGAGTCTAGTGGCACCCTGTGAAGCTCTAGAGAACTCCATGACCAACAGAGTTAAGGCAGTGTTGGAAAATAATGGTTGCCACACAAAATATTAACACTTCGGGCACAATTTGGACATTTTCATCTAGGGGGTACTCACTTTTGTTGCCAGCGGTTCAGACGTTAATGGCTGTATGTTGAGTTATGTTGAGGTGACAGCAAATTTACACTGTTATACAAGCTCTACACTGACTACTTTACATTGTATCAAAGTGCCAAATCTTCAATGTTGTCCCATGAAAAGATAAAATATTTACAAAAATGTGAGGGGTCTACTAACTTTTGTGAGATAATATATATAGCAATCTTTCATGGATAATGCAAAGCTTGTGGCTTGAACATACCTTTATTTTCTTTGTCAGAAGATAATGAGAAAGCTGGTAGATGCAGCTATTGAGATGCATTCCAGGGGTGTATTTCATCGGGACATTAAGGCAAACAACATTGTGATTGAAGTATCAGCTGATCTTTCAAAGTGCCGACAAGTGAAATACATTGATTTTGGCTGTGGAGCCACTTTTACTCCAGAAGCAGTCACTCGAAGAAGAAGTGGTAGGTTATCAGTCCCAGTGTTCAAATGTCCTGGACTGTCCATGCATCTTGTGTCCATGTGAATTCCTCACCATTATTAATATTTCTCTGGATTTCAGAGACAACTCTGGACTTGTATGAATCCAACGCGAATACAGCAGACTGCATCACAGTTTTGCAGCTAGGCACTGTGATGGATAAGCTGTTGCACTACATCCTCCCAGACACCTCCACCAAATCGAAATCTAGGACACGTAGCGACATTTCAGATGGTAAGCTGGATGTTGATTCCCCAACCTGTTGCAATTTGCGTTTGAAGTGAAAACGTTGTTTTCTGTGTTATCTTTGCCTTTGTCTGTATCGATTATCCACATGTAAATTTACAGGAACACAAAAATGTGACACCTCTATTTTATTTTGGTAAAGACTGCAAGGATTTTCTGTCAGGTTCTCTGAACCAGATCCATAAAGACCGCCTAACCCTGGAGGAACTTAAAAATCATCCTTGGCTCAACTGACGTCTCTACTCTGACAAATACAGGGTCATGGAGCAGAAGCTCCAACAGAGAAGTATTTGTTAAAATTAAATAGCCATGTTGTAATTCTGTGCATTTCATTACCAGAATAAACTGATTCACAAGCAAATTATTTGATTCCTTGGATTAGCCTTTAACCCTTGGGGTACATTTTCCTATACCATCATATGTTTCCGAGGTTTACAGTTCTTTGTGGATCAAACCAGCTAAATTCTACAGTTTATAAGCACATATATGTATGTTGTATTTTCTTTTGTGTTAATACAATTTATTAACAAATAAAAGCATTGATGCAATACAAGATACAATTCAAAATGTATAAAACAATAACATAAAAAATAAACATCTCAAACTGTGTTGAAAGTCAAAAAGAAGAGGCTGGTCTTGAGAGCGGAATAAAAAAATGGGCAGTGAAGAAGTCCGGTAATGAATTCCACAATTCACCATGATGAGAGGAAAGCATTGGTAACCGTTCCTCTCCAGGAGGACTAAGAAAATGTTTGACTAAAGCGTGAACAACATAATCACAATAATTTGATTCCTTTTATCACTGAGCCACATTACATATACAATCATATTGCTGTGTATCTAAGCGATTTACTGTTCTTTGTGTATTATGCCAGCTACATTCTACAATTCATAAGCAGATGTTGCATAGAGTTAACTATCCTGTCTTTCTGCATCTGTGAGAGGACAAATCATCACACATCGGCTTGGGCAAGGTACACTAGCTGTACCTTTGGTTTAAACCCAGAACCTTCTTGCTCTGAAGCCACA